TCTTTCTTTCTTTCTTTCTTTCTTTCTTTCTTCCTTTCTTTCTTTTCCTTCCTTCCTTCCTCCTCCTTTCCTTTCCTTTCCTTTCTGTTCCGTCCCTCTCCCTCTCCCTCTCCCTCTCCTTCTCCCTCTCCCTCCCTTCCTTTCCTTTCCTTTCCTTTCCTTTCCTTTCCTTTCCTTTCCTTCCCTCTCCCTATTCTTTCTTTCTTCTTCCTTCCTTCCTTCCTTCCTCCTTCCTTCCTTCCCCTTCCTTTCCTTCCTTTCCTTTCCTCTCCCTCTTCTTTCTTTCTTTCTTTCTTTCTTTCTTTCTTTCTTTCTTTCATTCATTCATTCATTGCATCCAAGGTTCCTTTATGCGTTTCTGTCACCCCGTACAGGTCTTACTCTTTAGTACTCGCTGGTCTTTTGAATTTTACTTTGTTTGCTTAATTTTATTGCAGATGTGCTTTATTCCGTCGAGCGATTCCAATCTCAAAATGGAAATATTTGTCACAGTTCAAAAGTTTGCCCTTTTGGAAAGTTTCACCCTGAAACTCTGAATTGCTATTTTTGTTCTGCTCTTTCTGAGGCAACGAGCGATTTCTTGCTTTTCATAAAAAAAAAATCTGCAGAGTTGGGAACAAACGGGGGATTGTTTGTCCTAAATGTTTTGTTCCTGTTGTGCGCTTATCTCTACGCCTTGCTTTTTTTTTCCTTTTTAAATAAAAATCAGTTTATTATAATCAAATAATGTGGGAAATGTATTATTAACTGCATTGCAAATGAAGTTCGATAACAAAAACTGACTGCAAAATTCTTTTGTGCCTCCAAGAATTAAGCAACAGCGGGTTCTGTCTGTTTAAATTTTTTTTTCCCTTTTGCAAACAAAGCTTGCAAAAAACATATTTACCGCAGTTTTCTTTTCTCCTGGAAATCAGGTTCTGCTCCTACCATATGTCGGTATTATTAGTATGATTTATTTATCGTTTTTTCCAGATTTACTGCTCCCTTTATAGCCAATCATATTCGTGGCAGTGCAACAATAAAAGCCGAAATAAAATCCTCGTACCTCAAAGAAGAACAAACAATCCTAATGAAACTATTTATTAAAACCACCAATCGAGGACAATCTGCGAGGATTAAGATGGGCACCGGAAGAATTTTTAAAAAGCGTGATGGAGATCACCTCCTAAAAACGCAGCTCAGGGACAGCCTTGTAACAGGAAGCCCGAAGCCTTTGTGTGCCAGGGAAATAAGAAACGTGGAGCTAGGTAGATCACTCAGGGGGATCCTTTCTTAAGAGGGAGGGATTGAATGCTGAAAGGATCTGCTTGTTGAGTAGGCTGCGACTCATCAAGTGAATGAGTTGTTTGGGGTGAGGTTTCCACGAGGATCTCAGGAGGAGGAGATTCCTTGAGGGTTTTCGAGATTGAGGAGATAAGGAGAAAAGATGTTGTGACTTTGGTAAGAGTGCAGAGGAGAGCAATTGTCTGAAATGCTATAGAGGTCTCCTGCCTAAGCAGGGGGTTGGACTAGAAGACCTCCAAGGTCCCTTCCAACTATTCTATTCTATTCTATTCTATTCTATTCTATTCTATTCTATTCTATTCTATTCTATTCTATTCTATTCTATTCTATTCTATTCTATTCCATTCCATTCCATTCCATTCCATTCCATTCTATTTCTTCTATTTTATTCCTATTCTATTCTTCCTTCCTTCCTTCCTCCTATTCTACTCTACTCTATTCTTCCTTCCTTCCTTCCTCCCTTCTCTATTCTATTCTGTTCTGTTCTGTTCTGTTTTGTTCATCTTCTATTCATCTTCTATTCTATTCATATTCTATTCTTCCTTCCTTCTTCCTTCTCCTCCCCCCTACTCTACTCTACCCTTCCCTCCTTCCTCCCTGCCTCCCTCCGTTCCTCCATTCCAGTTGGCTCAGCCTTTCATCCTTCCGAGATGGGTAAAATGAGGACCCAGATTGTTGGGGACAACAGGTTGATTTTGTAAACTGCTTAGAGAGGGCTGTAAAGCACTGTGAAGCGGTATAGAAGTCTAAGTACTATTGCTGTTGTCCTTCCTTCCTTCCTTCCTTCATCCATCCATCCATCATCTAACTTATGTATTTTATCTTGCATCTCTCTCTTTCTCACTCTCATCTATCCATCCATCCATCCATCCATCCATCCATCCATCCATCCATTAATCTTAATAGGAATAGCAATTGCACTTCGATTTATATACCACTTCACAGGGCTTTACAGAGTCAGCCTCTTGGCCCCAACAATCTGGGTCCTCATTTCATCCACCTCAGAAGGACGGAAGGCTGAGTCAACCTTGAGCCTGGTGAGATTCCAACTGCCAAATTGCAGGCAAATGGCAGTCAGCAGAAGTAGCCTGCAGTACTGCGTTGCGCCACCAAGGCTCAGTAGATCCAACGTGGCTCACGAAAGATTTTGCTCTGGGGTGCAAACTTTAACGTTTGAAGCGTCAATCCAACCTTGGTTGGTATCAGGAGATAAACAGAGTCAGTTTGCATTAGTGTTTGGATGGCGAACTTTGGGCTGTTGGTCCAACGGAGAAGCTTTTGAAAAACCTCCAGGAGAAGGCAAACTGGCAAGCTTACCTCTGTTACGCTGCCAAGAAACCTGTTAGACACGGCTTTCAGGAGTCAAGCTCAATTTGACCGTCTTTGTCCTTGCAAACCCCTGGTGCAAAGTTTTGGCAGCCTGTCTTGGGATCTGCGGGGAAGGTGGAGCTGCAGCTTGCCAATGGACTGTCCCTTCTTAATTAGATTGTTAGTTAATGCTTCGTTAGGATTCCTCTCGCCTCGGTCGAAGTCTTCCAAGATTCCTAGAACCAAGGAATCCATTGCCTGCATTTGCAATTCTCCTCTTGACTTCCAAAGCAAAATTTATTTATTTAGGAAAAGGCATATTTTCCTAAATGAATAAATTTATTTTGAAATAAATAATGGGACGCGGTGGCGCAGTGGCTAAGACACTGAGCTTGTCGATCGAAAAGCTCGGCAGTTCAGTGGTTCGAATCCCTAGCACTACGTAACGGGGTGAGGTCCCGTTACTTGTCCCAGCTTCTGCCAACCTAGCAGTTCGAAAGCACGTAAAAAATGCAAGTAGAAAAATAGGGACCACCTTTGGTGGGAAGGGAACAGTGGTCCGTGCGCCTTTGTCATTGACTCATGCCGACCACATGACCACGGAGACATCTTTGGACAGCGCTGGCTCTACGGCTTAGAAACGGAGATGAGCACCGCCCCCTAGAGTTGGGAACGACTAGCACATATTTGCAAGGGGAACCTTTACCTTTACCTTATATGCCCCCCACCCCACCCCAACTTGCTCTCAGTGATTCTGGATGGCTTATATAAGAATAAAAGTCCAATACAAGAACAATAAAAGTCAATAACCCCACTGGTGACACCAATCAAATGAGGCACTTGATGGAGCTCCATCCCACTCTGAAGTCCCCAGGCCCGTTGTCGAAACCACATCTTCAGGTCCTTTTGATAGAGTGTCCAAAATGGGGACATTCTTCTTGGTCCTGCTAGGAGAGGGGACCTGTAACATACCCTGCCTCCCCACTCTGGTGGGTCAGGTAGATGTGATTGGGAAAATATGGTTCTTCAAATAACAGAGAAGGAGCCACCACAGAGAAGGCCGTTCTTCTTGGTCCAACCAGATGGACTTCCCTAGGACAGGGGTCAGCAACCATAAACACTCAAAGAGACACAAAGGTCCTAACCGGAAGTCCCCCATTCAATTCTGGAGCTGACCGGATGTCCAGTTCCCTCACCATAGAGTCTCCTCCTAGCACGGCGTCCATTTTCCTCTGCTGACTGGAAGTCCAGTTCCCTCACCATAGAGTCTCCTCCTAGCACGGTGTCCTTTTTCCTCTACCTGCCCTAACCGAAAGCTCTATCAATTGTGGAGCTAACCGGCGACAAGGAGCCGCAGCAGAGGGATGAAAGAGCCACATGCGGCTCCAGAGCCGCAGGTTGCCGACTCCTGCCCTAGGAGATGGGACCCATTGCATTCCCTACCTCCCCACTCTGGTGGGC